CTGCGCCACCAGGGAGGGCCTGTGTGTAGATTTTTTATCCTGCTTCTTTACTTATTATTTTGATAAGTTTTTCTATGGAGTTTTTGGGATTCTCTATCATGTCATCCTTAAACAGTGATAGCTTTACTTCTTTCTTTATTTGGATTCCTTGTATGCCTTTTTCTTGTCTTGTTGTTCTGTCTAGGACTTCCAGTATTTGATGTTTTAGTACAATTAACAGATATGTAGAAAAGTCAGCATAATCAATTTTAGAATATTTTCATCAATTTAGAAAGATACTCTCGGCCCTCCCTGGTAGCACAGCGGGTTAAAACACACACCATCTTGCTGCCCCTGAGCCTCTGGCCTGTACCCCAGTTCTGTATGCACAAATAAATAAATCTTAAAAAAAAATAAGAAAGATACTCTGAACATTTCACTCCATTCCATCACCCCCTCAAGCCACCACAAATCTACTTTCTGTCTGGATATATTTGCCCAACTATGTCTATATTATTTCTTGTAGACCAGTTTTTCTTGTTTGTTTTTATCTGGAAAACTTAATTTATTCACTTTTGCTGAATGTAGAATTCTTGGTTGACAAAATTTTTAGTAGCTTTTTAATTATAACATTTATGTTTCTGGAGTGTACACCATCACAGGTCAAGATCTGTTAATCTGTATATCCCACATTAACTTCATTATTAAAGGTCCAGTTCTATCCATCATACAGTGGGCCCTTTTTACCTACCCTCCTTACCTACCCTCCTTCCTTTCTGGTAGCCATTGATTGGTCTTACAGTATAAAAAATTATTTTCTAACAAAAGTTTTTTTTTTCAGCACATTTAATACGTTATCTCACTACCTCTGTCCTCCATGGTTTCTGATTAGTTATCAATTGTTAATACTGTGCACAATGAGTCACTCTCTTGCTGCTTTCAAAATTATTTATATGTTGTTTTGACAGTTTGATTACCATATTTCCAGGCATGGATCTTTTACTCCAGTACTATGCAACTTGAAGATTGTTGAACTTCTTGAATGCACAGATTAATTTTTTCCATCCAGTATGGAGACTTTTGGCTCATTATACCTTTAAGTATCCTTTTAGACAGAAAGACCCCTCTCTGTCTGAGACTCTCATTATGCATATGGTGGGAAACTTGATGCTGCCTCATAGTTCATTTTCTTGGTCATTATTTTTCCTTTTGTTTCTCATACTGTGTTATTTCATCATACATATTGTCCAGGTTGTTCCTTCTTTGTTCTACCAGCTCAAATGTGCTATATGAAGCCCAGGAGTGAAATTTTTGTTTCAGTTATTGTGCTTTCCAACTCTGGCTTCTTTTAGTAATTTCCCTTTATTGATCTCTTATTTAGTGAAATGTTCAGATTCTTTTATTTTAGTTCTTATACCTTGTTTCCTTCAGGTCAAATAGCTGATTCAAAATCATTGTATATTAACTCAGTATCAGTTTCCTTAGAAAGCCGACTACTTAGGAAACAAAAACTGATTTAACTGTTAACACCTTTTTCCTGAAAATGGGTCTTATTTCCTTGTTTCTCTCTTTGTTTTGAAATTATTTTGTAGAAAAAGAGACATTTAAAATAAGATAATGGAGCAACTCTAGAAATTAGAATGTTTCCCTCTTTGGGGGGGTTGTTGAAATTTATTTATTTAATGACTTTTTAAAAGCCTCTGTTTTTTGTGACCTGCAGCATTTAAAATTGCTACAGACATTTCCTTAAATGCATAGGACCATTAAGTCTCTCATTCTTTGCCAAGGGACTCTGAGTATCTGGGCATGCCTTCAACAGCAGGCAGTTGTTTATAACTGTGTGTTAGTCTTCACTTCCTGAAGGTCACCTAAAGATGACAGCTTAGGGTCTTTTCATATCTTTCGTGAACATGTTGACAGGTCTAAGCATACGCATATTTTTATACATGTCTATAGCCAGAGCTTTTTAAAATGGTTGTGACTATCTCATTCCCCAACTTTTCCTGGTAAGCTTTGTGATTAGACCATTGTTTGTCCCAGCTGTTACTTACCACTTCAGGTAGCCGCAAATTTAGACTAATACTTGTAGATGTTTATGACAAATGTCTGTGAGGACTAGGCTTTTCATACTGTGTGAACTCTGAATTAGCTCAGATATATGAGGGAACCACCAAATAGGCCAAGTAATGACAGTTTTCTGGGAATGAAGCTTTGACTCAACCCCAGCGCAGTGCTGTCAGTTCTGTACTTAACATGCTGCTCAGAGTTTAATTCTGATTGAGGACTGTCCTCAGACTACAGCAGAGTTGGAGCAGGATTGGAGGAAATAAATTAAAGTACATGAAATCACAGTTCTTACTGTGATTCAGCCGTGTTTCTTATATAAATGTTCCATAGATTGCTTTTGTTAATGTCTACAAGTGTTAAGTTTTATATTGTTGCTATAGAGCTACAGAATTTTCTTGGAATCTTATATTCTTTTCACTTATGTAACTTATCAGTTTAATTTTCTTTTAGAGCAAACTGATTTTTATTAAATCATATATTAAGAAGATCGGCAAAATTGAAAAAAGTGTAATTTTCTCACTAATTTCTTTATTTTTAGTTTTGGAAAATATATTTGAATTTTCTTTATTTTTTGTTAGGTTACAGTGCATTTCGTGAGAGATGTTCCTCTTCTTTTGTTGATTTGTTTTAGTTATCTAAGCTTCTGGTACATTAGCAGTATCAGTATTACTGCAGACATGAATGAAAAGTAACTGCGGAAAGTAACACTGGGGAAAGTTTGGTTTTTAATCTCTTTTGTCTATTTCTTTTCTACTTTTAATTGTGATAAGAGCACTACTCTCTTAACATGAGCTGTACCATCTTACTTTTTATGTGTACAATGTATTATTGTATGTGTGTGTGTGTGTGTGTGTGTACTAACTTTATGTGTGATGCCCTAAAACAGGCTTGTAGGACACAGTGATTTGGTGTAACTGAAACTTTACCCATTGCTTGTCTACTTTCTAACTCCATGTTTCACCATCTCCTTTAAAGTCTTTTATTGTGGAAACTTTCCTTTTTCTCAGTTTCCAAGACACCTGTTTCTATCATTTTTCAGAAAATATCTTCTCTGACTTTGTGGCCTATATTTTTCTCCCAGCCTTTGCACAGGTTGTTTTGGTACTTTTCTTTCTGTAATTGGTGTGTGCTCAAGGTGTTGTCTGGTTGTCTCTGAAAATTTAAGTTACCTGCAGAATTGCTTGTAACTCTCTGTTCTAAACCACATGTAAACTAGTTTACACAACAGGACAGCTTTTTGTTCCACAAATTCTTCAGTAGCCATGTGACTATATCAGACTCACTAAAATATTTGTCTAACACACTTTCTTCCTGTTGGATCCCAAATTTGGAACCAGCATTCAAGATGACTCTCATACACCTAAGCTGGTGCAAGGGTATGGTTATATTAAATTGTTTGCTGCTTCTGTGCTATAATTCTATCCCCATCCTGAAATCTGTTGCTTTTACTTCAGTGTAAATAGTGTTCACAGGTTGGTCTCTTTCATTCTAACTCCTTGGAAGGTTGGTCTTCATGCTTCATGTGCTCTATAACTTTATTTATGCATATGTTTGATCATGTGTAACATCTGTGCAACTTATGTGTATTCCTTCTTGACTTCATTATTTTCAATGCAGATGTTTAAGGAAGGTAATGAAGATCCTAGAATTGTTTAAAGTACTTGCCAAGATAGTTATCCCTTGGGTGGTAGAAGAGTTGTACAGTCTTTTTCGTTGAATATTTTTCTATTAAAAAGCCTGAGATTTAAAAAATATGTATATAAATCATGGTAAATTGAAACCCTTTTTAACTAACTCCAAATTATAGACAAAACTAGGTAAAAAAAATAGGTATTCTTCATAACCATTCTAAAGCTGAAGAATAAATAGAAAAAGTAGTGGTTCTCAAAGGTCATTTTCTTTGTCACCTAATTCTGAATCTTTGAACAAAATGTGATGCTGCAGAGATCAGTGTCATTAGAAGATGTGACTATGGAGTTCACCAAGGATGAGTGGCAGTTTGTGGTCCCTGCCCAGAGGACCCTCTATAGGGGTGTGATACTGGAGAACTACAGCCACCTGGTCTCAGTGGGTGAGCCGACCTTCCATGGGGCTCTACATTTCCTTTTTCAATTATCAGTACATATGAATGCTTTATAGAGAATGATGTTCAGACTTTTGATTAAGAACTCTAGTATATCTGAAGCCTCCAGTGAAACAGAAAAATGTTTGTCATGATTTCTTCATTACAGATACCAAATGAACACCTTTATTTTGCTGCCTTTGCTGCAATATTTTTCTCCATCTTTAGAAAGCACAAAGCCTAAATATATAATCTGTATATACCCTCAACTGTTTACATTTACTGGCTGTTGTACTACCAAATCTGAAGTGATCTTCAAATTGGAGCAAGGAGAAGAGCTCTGGTCCTTAGAGGAAGAATTCCTAAATCAGAGGTATCCAGTTCAATGAGCACAGACAGAAGAACACTTTGGGTTCAATTTTAACAGGGGGATCTTCTTTTACTTTTAAACAGCTTTGTTAGATATAACTCACATACTATTCAAGTTACTTAAAGTGTACATTTCAGTGGCTTTTATGCAGAGATATGTGTAGGCATTACCTTAGTCAGTTTTCTTCATTTCACAAAAGAGATTTCATAGCCCTTAGTCCTCTCCCCACCCTCCAGCCCTAGCAACCACTATTCTTTGTTTCTTTATGTTGGTTGTTGTGAACATTTCATATAAATTGAATCATACATGAAATGGTCTTGTGATTTTTTTTCACTTAGCATTACAAAGTAACATGCAGACATGTCAGTATCTCATTCTTTTTATGGCAATGCAATGTTTTATTGTATACCATATTTGTTTTGTTCAGTTGAGGAATATTTGGGATTCTTTGTGCTACTATAGAATAATATTACTAGGAACATTCATTTATATGTTTTTCTAAAGACAAAAGGTCTTATTTTTTTTTAGTTTAACCTAGGATTGAATTAACCTAGGTCGTATGGTAACTGTGAGGAACATCCAACCTATATTCCAGAGTGGCTGCACCATATTACAGACCTTGTGACAGATGAAGGTTCTAATTTTTCCACGTCTTCACCAGTTTTATTATCTGATTTCTTGGTTCTAGCCATTCTAGTATTATGAAGTCTTTGAGGTTTTGATTTCCACTTAAGTTTTAGTTAATTAGACCAGCCTAACAAAATATCAACTGTTACAGTCTAAATGGCTTAAACAGTTTATTTTTCACTGTTCTTGAAGTAAGGAATGTAGAATCATGGTGCCAACAGGCTTGATTTCTGGTGAGACCTCTCTTCCTGGCTTGCAGATGGCTGGCTTGTAATTATATTCTCATTTTTATTTTTAAAATTGAGATACCATTGTTATTTGTGTTTTAGTCGTACAGGATTTCTCTGCAGATGTTGTTGTTATACCACACCCATAACCAAAGCACCTACCATCCTCATGGCCTATTGTGCTCTCTCCCCCACATTTTATAAAATCTTAACTTTTTTACTTGTTTTTATATAGTTGAACTGGGGTGTAGGCCAGAAGGGTGTGTGTGTGAGAGAGAGTATTCATCAGAGTAGGAAGCAGAACAGGCAGATCTACTGAAATACACTGTAAGAGGAACAGTAGGCAAGATAGGAGAGTTCTGCTGTGCCATATGTGGGTCAGCTCTCTGGCTATATCAGGACACAGCAGTGATAGCCCTGAGGCTTAACCCCTAGGCTGCCAGGAAAGCTCCACCGCACTTTGCTTTTTCCTTTGGCTCTTCTTACCTCTCTGGTAGCCTCATTTCTAAAGTCAGCTTTCTAGGTTTTGTGTTTGTTCAGTTTAATCTATCCTTTGTGTGGTATTTCTATGTTCCACATGTAAGTGATATTATCTCTATTTGTCCTTATCCTTCTGACTTACTTCATTGATGATAATCACATCTAGTTCATCCTCATGGTTACAAATGGCAAGCCTTTATCATTTATGATAGCTGAGTCGTGTTCATTGTGACATCTTGATTCATTCATCTGTATTTGGGCACATAGGTTGTTTTCATAGTTTGCTGCAGTTAACATAGGAATGCATGTTTCCCTTGCAATTAATACATTTTTATTCTTCAGGTAGTTACCTAGAGAGAGAATAATGAGTCATATGGATTCATTTTTAATATTTTGAGAAACTCCTTACTGTTTGTACAGGACTAAATAAAGCCACATTTCCACCAACAATATATGAGGTTCTTTTTTTCCCACACCCTCACTAGTGCTTGTTTTAGGTCTTTTTGATATGGACTAGTCTCACAGATGTGAAGAGGGTTTGAATTGGCTTTCCCTGATAATAAGTGATGATGAACATTTTTTCATGTGCCTCTTGATCATCTGTATGTTTTCTTTAGAGAAGTGCCTGTTTAGTTTTCTCCATTTTTTTTTGGATTGGGGGATTTTCTTTCTAGTGAGTTTTATGAATTATTTATAGATGCTGGTATTAGCCCCTTGTCAGACAGAAGGTGACAAATACTCTCTCCCATCTAGTAGAAAGTGTTTTTTATTAGTGACAACTTCTTTAACTGTATTTTTTTGGCCTTAAAACTTGTATAGAAGCTTTTCTAATATAGCTCCAATTGTTTATATTTATATATATATATATATATATTTTTTTTTTTAACTTTCTGCTGGCAAAGAATCCACAAAAATATCTCTGAAATCTGTGTTATATAGTGTTTTTCCTGTTTCTTCTCAGGTTTGTGGTTTTAGATCTTATGTCTGAGTCTGTTACCATCTTGAGTTAACTTTTGTGTATGGTTTGAGATAAACTTGTACTTTTACTTCCTTGCCCTATTTATTGAAGATGACTTCTTTACTTCTTTTGCATAGATTAACTGTTCATATAGGTGTGCATTTCTTGCTGGGTTCTCAATTCTTTTCCTTTCATTTGTGTGTCTTTTTATTGTTTTGCTATATAGCTTGAAATATGGGAGTGTGATTCCACTGTTCTTCCTTTTTTCTATCAGAACTTATTTGGTTTTTCAGGGTGTTTTGTGGTTGCATATGAATTTCATGTTTATTGAAAAGTGCATTGAAATTTCAGTAAGGATTGCACTGAGCCTCTATATTGCTTTGGGTAAGATGGCCATTTTGGACAACTGTAATATTGAACAATGTTTAGTTTCCCAACCCATAAGCAATGAATGTCTTTCCATTTATTGTTGTCTTCTATTTAAGTGTTTGTAGTCTTTCTTTGTAGAGATCTTTCACTTTCTTTATTCCTTGTGTTTATTTTTGGTGTTGTTTAAATAGGATTTCTGTCTTAGTTTCTTCCTCTTCTAGCTCATTGTTTGTTTAGAAACATATAGGGAGGTAATTCACTATTTACATTTATTTTGTTGCTCAACAGATTGTTTCAGTTAGATTTTTAATGGAGCCTTTAGTGTACTTATTATCATATCATCTTCAAATAATGATAGCTTTACTTTTTTCCCAGTTTAGGCTCCTTTTATATCTTTGTTTTGTCTAATTGCTCTAGCTAGGACTTCCAATATTATGTTGAATGGTAGTGGTGAGAGTGAACATCCTTGTCATTTACCAGATCTCAGTGGACAGCTTTCAGTTTATCTCCATCAAGAGTGATGTTACTTGTAGATTTGCCATATATGGTCTTTATGATGTTGGATGTTTCATTAATGCCCAGTTTTCCCATGGTTTACATCATAAATGGATATGTTGAATCTTTCCAAATGCTTTTTCTGTTCTATTGATGTGATCATATGGTTTTAATCTTTTCTTTTGTTGATGTGGTGAATTATGTTGTTTGATTTTTCAGATGTTTAATTACCTTGTTTCTTGAGATGAGCCTGCATTGCAACAAACTTCCTTTTTAGTGCTGTGTTCCCTCAGTTTTGGATGTTTGTGTCTTTATTGTCATTTGTCTATTTTATCTGATGTCCCTGTCTTCCTTTGGCTCCCATTTGCTTAGGATTGTTTTCCAACCCTTTATTCTGAGCCTATGTCTATCTTTAGAGCTTAGGTTAATTTTATATTCCATCTATTTTCTTATTCAGTTGGTTGTAGATGTTTCCCTCTTTTATTTAGATAGTAGAACACCTTTCATCATTTCTTGAAGGAAGAGTATAATGTTTTAGCTGCTGTTTTTGTTTATTAAGATTAATTTTTATTGATTTATGATTACAAGAACTGGGGTACAAGCCAGAGCTGTAGGGTGGGAGAGGTAAGAGGATCCACCAGAGACAGAGTGGGGAACAGAATAGGCAGATCTGTGGAAATACACTGCTTATGGGAGCAGTGGGTGAGATGAGGGAGGTCCCTTGCCCCAGGTGGGTTAGCTTCCTGACCAGGAATCGAACTCATGGTACAGTGGCTTGTGATAGCTTGATAGTGCCAAGACTTAACCCCTTGTGCCATCAGAGAGTCTTCTGTTTGTGTACAAAAATCTTTCTTATATTTGATTTCCATCAATCATCTTGCAGCTAGAGTAATCTGGCCTGCAATTTTATCTTTAAATATTTTATCATGTGTTCCATCCCCTTCTTCCCTGCAGTGTTTCTTTGGAGAAGTACTATGTAAACTTGAGTGGGATTCCTTTGTAAGTTAACTGTTTTTTCCCTCTAAAAACTTAAATATTCTTTTTTTGCCTCAAATTCTTAGAAGTTCACTAGTATATGTTTTGGTGATGGTTCCATTTTGTTAAGGTACACTGGTGTTCTTTTAATATCATGAATTTACATATTTAGTTCATTCCCTCAGTTTGGGAACTTCTCCTCTATTTTTATCTTTAAATATGTTCTCTTTTAATTCTTATCTCCTTCTGAGATAAGATCAAAGGCAATATGATAATATTGCAATATGATGACATATAATAATGTATTATACAATTGTTTTTATATATTATTATTATTATATTGCCTTTCTTCAGAGAGTTGGATATTCATTTTTTTATTCTTGGTTTTTCTTTTTCCACCTAAATTTTTTGTGCATTAGCGTAATAATGGTCACTGATGTGTTCTTCCATTGATCTATTCTGATTCCATAACTTTCTCCATGGCTTTTTATTTTCTCTTGATATTTTTACATACTGCAACTGTTAATTTCTCATTTAAAGCTTCAATTTTGATCTTTTGTTCATTAATTTTGTTTACCAGGACATCATTTGTTTTTCTTTCATTTTTTTGTATCATGACAATTTTTTCTTTTACTAAGTTAACATTGGTTTACACTGTTATTTGTGTATTAGAGTATAGATCTAAGTAGAGTATAGATGTAAGGTAACTTTGGGTATTGTTATGGCTCCATATCCCCTCACCACAGCATCCATTGTGCCTTTCTTCTCACCACAGCATCAGTTGTGCCTTTCTTAACTATTTTCTTTCTGTTTCTAAGGACACCCTTCCACCTGACTCCCCACAGCACTCAAACCATTTTCACCCCTGTAGTCTCTTTCCTACTTACCCTTACTCTAAGTGTACTTAGATTTTGTTGAGTCTTGTAAGCTCTTTGTAGATCTTTATGATCAGTCCCTTATCATAGTATTGTGTGCAAAAATTTTCTCCCAATCAGTGGGGTGTCTGTTTTTGTTAATGTCTATTGGTGTACAAAAGCTTTTAAGTTTGATGTAATACCAGCTGTTCATCTATAAGGATGATTAATTTAGGAAAAACTATGAAAAAATAATACAGGGTGTTTTCAAAAGCAGTAAATGTGAAGAAAACTTGAGCAAGAGCCTAGCCCCTGTAATACTACAAAAGACATGAACTGGAGATAAATTTTGTGAATATAATAGATGTTCCGATGCCTTCAGCCAGAGATTAGACCTTACAATACCTCAAAGAACTGGCACAGAAGAGAAATCTTACTAGTGCAGTAAAAATGGGAAAATTTTCCATCAAATTTCAGCCCTAATTATAAACCAGCAAGGTAATAATAAATTGTTGGAAATTCATGAACACAGGAAATCCTTTTATCAGAAAGCATACCTCATTCCATATCAGAGGACCCAATTAGGGGAGCAATCTTGTGAATATGAGAAGTATGGGAAATCCTTTTCACATCCCATTTATTACTTTGGAATTCATACAGGTGTCAATCTTTATGAATATAATGAATGTGGGAAAAGTTCCTGTCAAAAGTCAAACATCAGTGAACATCTGAGAGTTCACACAAAAGAGAAACCTTCTGTTGATAATGGAACAGGGAGATTATACAAGAAATCTGTCCTAGTAATACACCAGAGAACACATACATAAATAAACTATGTCAAAATAGTGAAAATGGAAAAACATTCTCCAAGATGGAACATCTCAAAGAACAGAGATTGCACGCAGAGGAGAAAACTTATGAATGTAATGAATGTGGGAAAACTTTCTCTAAAACAGCACATCTCAGAGCACTTCAGAGAATGCACACAGGAGAGAAACCCTATGAGTATAAAGAATGTGGAAGAACTTTCTCCCAAAGAACATACCTTTGTGCACATCAGAAAATTCATACACAGGAGAAGCCTTATGAATGTAATGAGTATGGGAAATCTTACTCTAAGATATCACATCTCTGAGCACACCAGAGAATTCACACAGGAGAGAAACTATGAGTGCAATGAATGTGGGAAAGCTTTTGTCCGAAAATCAGCTCTGAAAGTACATCAGAGTTCACACAGGGGAGAAACCATACAAATGTAGTGAATGTGGGAAATTTTTCTGCTGAAAGTCACATCTCCGTGCACACCAGAGAATCCATAAAGGAGAGAATCCTTATGAATGTAATATATGTAGAAAACCTTTTGCCTACAAAGCAACCCTCAGAGAACATCAGAGAATTCACACAGGGGAGAAACCCTATAAATGTAATGAATGTGGGAATGCTTTCTCTAAGACATCACAACTCAGAGCACACCTGAGTACCCACACAGGGCAGAAACCATACAAATGTTGTGAATGTGGAAAATCTTTCTGCCAGAAGTCGTATTTTTATGCATACCAGAGAATTCACAAAGGAGAGAAACCTTATGAATGTAATGAATGTGGAATAACCTTCTCTAAGACATATCTCAGAGCACAACAGAGAACTCACACAGGAGAGAAACCCTATGAGTACAATGAATGTGGGAAAGCTTTTGCACAAAATTCAGCTTTGAAAGTACATCAGAGAATTCACTCAGGGGAGAAACCCTATGAGTGTAATGAATGCGGAGAAACTTTTGCCTACAAGGTATCTCTTAGGGTGCAGCGCATCAGAATGCATACCAGAGGAAGCAAGCCTCACATGTAAATAATTTGGAGTTCCTAAAGGAAATCATTATTAGGTAGTATATAGTGGAGAAACTCATACAGACTGGCACAGTTTCCCTTAATCATATCATTTTCTGCTAGGCATATAGCTAGTCTAAATTTCCTACTCGTGTCCTTTATCTGGGTGGAACTTGTCATGGAATGTGATGCTATTGCATTTAAGCTAAATTCACCTTACATTCCTCCTTTTCCTGTCCTGTATTATGCTGGAATGAAGAGATTTCCTTCACAGACTTTGGTTCTGTGTATTGAACAAGGGGCGAAAGAAGCTGGGATCTGATCTGAGTTAATGAAACTAGTCTCCACAAAAAGTCAACAATCTCCACAAGTCGATTTTAATTTTAAAGAATGAATTGAGGTTGTATTCTGTTGATCAATTAGTAATTTTGATCTGTTGATTAAAGCCCATAGCTCAGGCAATTTCAGAGTGAAATGAAATCCAATGAATACCATAAATATCACAAGAGCTATATGAATTCAATCTCATTGTACCAGGGACTTTGCATGAGGAAACTGTCAGTATGCAGAAACCATCGTTAAAGATTGGTTATATCTCAGGGAAGAACACAAAAACCTTTACCACAAACTGAACTTCAGGAAACATCAAATGAGTGGAATTGATCAGATTAAAATCTTATATTTTGCTAAGCACATTTCAAGTAAATATTGAAAGTTTGTTTCCGATGTTTTCCTGAAGAAATTTATCAGTTTCTGAATTAAAGATAACACCTTCACCTAAAACTAAGTATTCACTTGGGTTTTGTGTGTAATACCAAGTTTTATAGAAAAAAAATGTAGTTACACACATGAAGTCACTATGGAATACAAAGTTTTAAAGACGGATGAATAGGGCCCTCCCTGGTGGTGTAGCGGGTTAAAGCACAACACTAAGAAGCTAAAGCCACTTCAGCATGAGTTCAATTCCCAGACCTGGAGGTGAACCACATGGTGCTGCAGACCTCTCCTGACCCGCCCACTGCTCCCTTCAGCAGTGTACTTCATCACTCTGCCTGTTCTGCTCCCCACTCAGTCTCTGGTGAAGCCTTTCACTGCCCCTGAACCTCTGGCCTACACCCCAGTTCTGTATGCATAACTAAATGAATCTTTAAAAAAAATATATGGATTAATAACTGGAATTCTGTGGACAATTCCAGTAAGTATGACTAGTCTAGGAAGCTACATGTAACATGATTCCATGTAAATTATAGTAGCCAAACTGGATGTGACTGTCAATACTTTTTTTGAGTAGCATTCTATATCCTTCATCTTTTTGCTTTCCTCTGTTTGATGCTGTTAGATTTTGTCTTTTCTATTGTGGAGAAACAATAGAGTCACAGCCAGGTGCACCTGTGGAATATGGCAAGGTCATGATGACCAGAGCGCTGAGCACGCTTGTGCAAACAGGACCCAAAAACGGGCCTCGAGGTTACGTGACCATTGGCAGACCTCCGGTGATGAACCTTGAGAAAACTGTTGGTTCTACCTAGAGCCATCATCTGGACAGGAGGAATGTCCTCCCTGGTGTGAGGAGAGATGGTTAATATTCCTTGAAAAATGTCACAATGTATAACTTTGATCCTTACCTTTGCAATGTATGCCATAATTTGATACTGTATAACTGTCTTTATTACAAGCACTGCCTGCAGGATTTAATGCCCTCAGGCTCAGTTGCAATCACAATGGGGTTTATTAAAAAAGGGGTGCTTGAGAAGAAGGAAAGAGTTTCAAATCACTGACTGTCTTACCCCAGATAGTATCTATAGTGTCCAGAGTCCAAACAAAGGCTGCTTGTGCAAGATGGCATTGTTCCTTTGGCTAGTGCCGGGAGCTGGTGGCACACTGTTAAGCAGTGGGCCAGGATCTAACTCACGGTAGCAGCTGGAGGTGATCACAGGACTGTAGTGGTGTAATGCACAGCAACAGTGTGAAGTTGGACAGCACTATATGCTAGCCTGAACATAGCTAAATTCAACAGCACTCAGAAGTGGTGCCAGGTGCTCAGAATTAGATAGCTCTCAAAGGTAGTTGAACACAGGTCAGCAGTGCTAGTCACTGGTCAACAGTGCAGATCTGTACTGCTCAGTAGTGCTTGTCAGCTCCAGTCACTGGGTCACTGGGAGGTGGTCAAGAGACACCACTGTTACAGCTCTTTGTCAGCTGTTGGCATGTACCAAAGAGCAAACAGCTTTTGTGGAGACACTGGACCCAGGCTGATGGTGGTTTGTTTTTTTTTTTTAAAGATTTATTTATTCATATAGAAAAGGGGTGCAGGCCAGAGATGCGAAGGGTGAGCGGATTCACCAGAGACAGAGAGGGGAGCAGAACAGGCAGATTGACAAAGTACACTGCAGAGGGGAGCAGCGGGCTGGTCAGGAAAGGTCTGCTGCGCCATGTGGTCACCTCCTGGGCAGGCGGGAATCGAACTCATGAGGAAGTTGTTTAAGCTTCTTAGTGCTGCGTTTAACCCTCTGTGCCACCAGGGAGGGCCGGATGGTGCTTTCTATAGCCAATGTTAGAGGCAGGGACAGAGGCAAATGCAATGGCCAGATCTATGGAGGTCTTGAACTCTACAGAGGTCTATGGAGGTCTGGAAGTCTGTGGAGATACTGAAGTCCCAATGAAACTATCTACAAAGGACCTGCTGTCTCCTCAATGCTTCTCTTTCAAGATTGTTTGATGAATAAACTTTGGGGTCGCTGATTTTCAAGCCTGATGGACTGTTTTTGATGCTAGCTTTTGATTGGTATCAGTTTATCACTGATAAGATTGTTCCATTTTAATTCCTCAGTGGACTCAAAATCCTGAGTGGAACTGGTGAGAGCTCAAATCTCCATGAGAAGTCCATGAGAGCTCTAGCCTGATTAGTCCATTACATCTCAGCACCATATTCAAAAGGGAAACACCAGCCACCTGTTCAGAACTGTTCATACCAAACCTACACTGAGGTTGGGGCAGATTTATGGAGAGTTGGCTCAGGGCCAACTTCAGTGGAGCCAGAGGCTCACTGCACTTGGCACCTTTCAGCCAGGCTTGGTGTGGAGGTGCAGGAGACTCTGCAGCAGAGCTCATGCATGGATCCAAGCAGCTGAACTATGGGCTACCATCCAGCGCCCACCATGTTGGCCCAGCACAGAAAAGGATTCTCTCCCATGGCTGCCCCACAGTGGTCACTACCTCCATGAAACCAATGTTCTTCCAAGCAGCCCCAAAAAAGGAGCCATGGGACTTGGGGTTTGCCACCTTTGTTGAAGTCCTGTGACTGGCCTGGAGGCTGCTGCATCACAGCCTGGACCAACATTACTGGAACTTGGTGCCAGTCAACCAACTGTACCAGCTGGGGCAGGGCAAGGAAGCCACTATTGCTGCATCTGTTAGAACAGCCTGGGAGCTCTGGAACACAAACCCATTGGCAATGTGGCTGGCCATAAGTCTGACTCACTGAGGTGGGCCATAGTGAAGTCACCATACTTGTTTCAGCAGGACAAATAACTGATCAGAGAAATTATTGTACTTGCTTGAAACTGAAACTAAATTTATACAGAGCTACAGGGACATCACCACTTACATCCCTGGGGGGATTTAGGAAGAAAAGAATCCTTGTCTTCTTCATTGTCCATTCAGGAGAGCTGCAGCACTGTTCCTGCATTGCAGATACTAGACAAGAGGTCTCAAAAAGAGGGAGACACCTCTCTGTTCATGGTCACCACCTTTGCTAGAGTTGTCTGACTTTATTGATGTAATAGAATAATTTAGAGAGAAGGACAATCAAAGATTCAAGCAAAGAAAATTTAGTGTGAATCACACAATAGGAGAGGGACAGCAACTACCCTGAGCCATGTGCTCCACATGAGAGCAGCTGTGGTCTTAATGTTATTCAAAGAATGCACATTAGAGAAGAGAAAGTCTCCTCAAACAGTGGTGTTGGGAAAATTGTGTTGGATGGCCACATTGAAAGAATGAAACTAGACCACTTTCACCATACATGAGAATTAAAATGGATAACATACTTGGATGTAAGACTTGAACCATAATATATAGAGAAGAAAACTTAAGCAAAACACTGTCATAAACTTCAGAAGTAACTTTTCAGATGTGATCCCAGGAGAAAGGAAAAAGAATGTAAACAATACATCAAACTGAGAAACTTTTGTATAGCAAAACAGTAACCAAATGAGACTATTTGCACACCACAAATTAGAAAGGGACTGATATATAAGAACTACGAAGAACTCACACAGCTCAACAAAAAGAAAACAAACAACTTAATCAAAATTACACAGAAGTGCTAAACAGTTACATCTTCAAAGAAAACATGTAGATGAAATAGTGAATGAATGAATAATAATGAATGAAATAATATTCATCATAACTTATCATTAAGGAAATGCAAATTAAAACCACAGAGATACCACCTCACACCAGTGAGACTGGCCCATGCCAGAAAGACCAGGAATAGTAAATGCTAGCTGCTAGCAAGAGTGTGGGTAAGTAGAAACCTCTTGAATTGTTGATGAGAATGTGGACTGGTACAGCCCCTAAGCAAAGCAGCGTAGAGGTTCCTCAAAAACTAAAAATGGATCTGCTATATGATCCAGCGATTCCTCCCATATGTACATGCCCAAAGAACACAACACACCAATTTAAAAGGAAATATGCACTTCCACTTTTATTGCAGAATTATTTACAATACTCAAGATATGGAAATAATCTAAATGCTCCAAAACCTGGGGAGGTCAAGAAGATGTGGTATATATACACAACAGAATACTATTCATCACTCAAAAAAGACAAATGCTTGTCATTTGTAGCAATGTAGGTGGAGCTGGAAGGGATTATGTTAAACTACATAAGCCAGAAGGAGAAAGATAAATACAGGATGGTGTCACTTTATTGTGGAATGAGAAAAGCAGAGAATCCAATAAAGACAAACTTTAAAGTCAACTCTTGAAAGCTGACTTTAGATCTGAGGCATTCAGTAGTCTAGGAGGAGGGGGACAGAAAGGGTAAGTGCTGAGAAAATGAGCGAGGGCAAGCACAAAGCTATGGTGGATGAGTGAAGTGTTCTGGTGGTGGGACATCTACAGTGGCCACACCTGAGAAGAGTGATCCTATATAGTCAAACCATTAACAAGGATGCAATAAGATGGAACTTCTTATTAAAATAAGTAATTGAAACTCATCAAGGGACATAATAAAGTTCAAAATATTAAAATAATCTCATTAAGAACACATGGGATATAACATTAGATCTCAGCCACAGATTACTTTAAACTCCGAGAACTGAAAAATGTTCTGTTCAAACCTGAGGCCCTCATGAGTTCCGTCAACCACTCCTTACTTGGAATTAGTTGATCACCTTTGGGTCTATGATCTGTTCTTTTCATTTGCTTCGACGAGATCCTATTTTGTAGATACCAGAAGTCACACAAAATCATGGGATTATGGTGTGTGGAATGGTGGAGGCAGAGGGAAGTAAGGTAGCACTTTATCATATGGGATATATAAGCAATTGAGGATAGGAGTGCTAACTGAGACAGCTGTTCTACTTCTGGTTATTTATCCAAAGTTATGAAAACACTAAGTAAAAGTTCACTGCAGCATTTGCACACTAGCCAAGAGTTGTGAACAACACAAGTGCCTACAGACAGATAAGTGGATAAAGGAAATGTGGCATATATTCACAATGAAATACCACACAGACATTAAATAGATAAAATCCTGTCATTTGCACCAGTATCACTGAATCTAGAGTTTATTATATTGAGTGAAATAAGTCAAATGAGAAAAAAAGCACCATCTTACTGTTCTCATATGTGGTACACAAGCAAATAAAGAAACAACAAAGTGAAACTTTTATAAATGAAACTTTTATAAGTTAGTTACTAGAGGGAAGAGGGGGTAAATTTGGTAAAGAGCCCAACCATATGGTGATTGATGGACTTCTGACTGCAAACATCAGTATTACTAATGTTAATTTATAAGGCTGCACATTGGAAGCCTATATCTAACAATATATGTGTCACTGCTCCTTCAATAAAAAAAAAAACTTTAGGACCCTCCCTGGTGGCACAGCGGGTTAAAGCACAGCACTGTGAAGCTAAAGTCACTTCAGCACGAGTTCCATCTCTAGCCCCAGAGGTGACCCACATGGTGTGGCAGACCTCTCCGGACCTGACCCGCCCACTGCTCTCCTCAACAGTGTACTTTGTCAGTCAGCCTGTTCTGCTCCCCACTCTGTCTCTGGTGAATCCTCACCACTCCTATACCTTCTGGCCTGTACCCCAGTTC